TGTATTCGGCCGACGGATAATTTGCACCACCACTACCATCTGGCGTTATATACGAATTTGTTCGTGATTGATAATATCTGGAATAATCTTGAGGCGGTGGTGGATAATTTGTCGGAGGCCAGGGAAGGTTTTGAATTGTCACCGGGTACTCATTCACCTTAAGATAAGATGCTCGATTCACTGCATTTTTCTCGCTGCTAAAGCTCTCGACAACGGAACGGCTATATCGATCATTCATGTAGCTATCGTATATTTCGTCCGGTTGGTACACCTCATCAGTTTCACGGTTTTCTTCACTTTTTGATGACAGATTAGTGCCATAGCTTGCGCGACTGTATTCACTGTCGCTATCTGATATCGTTTCCTCGACAACATGTTTATCATCTCTTATCACAAAAGATTTACTTCGTCGAATCTTTGTAGGGTGCGGTGGTGATAATGGTTTACTTATCACATACGAAGTTTGTGTAGATGTAATCTCCGTGGTAATGGTACCAAATGATTGTTGTTGAAGCTTTGGATTTTTACTTTGGTGTTTGGTAGGCGTCATTGAGACACCGTCTATCATATCACTAGTAGAAAACTCGACTTTTCGTGTTTCTTGACGAGTGGTAGTCGTGGTGGTGGTGATTTGGTGCGTGATGATAGAGTTTGAAGATGGGGCATTTGAATTGTGTTGACCATGAAATGTTGGATAAAAACTGTCATAATCTTTATTGGGTATGACAAATAACTTCACCTTTTCAATGTTATTTTCGCTACTATAACGATTCGATTTTATCCATGGCACGTTAAGACTTCCTCTCACTTGTTTTTTTTTCTTTTCACTCACAATCCATTCATAGTCATTCATCTGCTCTTTCTTCGGTTCAACCAACACCCACTCGTCCAATATTCCAGTGTCTCCGTTGTTTACCTCTACCAAAAAATAAGGAAATTGTTCTATTATATACCAATCTTCCCAATCTTCGTTATCGATTGCATCGCGATCGATGTTCTCCATCTTTATAGAAAAGCACGAGTTTTCGGATTCCGGGCGTTGCTTGACACACAGGAAACGAAATTTTCTCTCTTTTCCAATCGATTTCGCATTTTTATGCTTATCCTTTCCACTTGTGTGCACTTCACCTTTAACTTTCTGGACCGTTATCGTTTCCGTTAATGGTTCACTAAACCCAAGTTTCTCAAATTTACACCAAGTCATTGAGTTTCTCATTGAGCATCCAGAATCATTTCTTTCTAGCATATTATCATTTTCTCCGCTTGCCGGATCCATCTGGTCTTTCTCCTCGTGAATGGAGATTTCGCCTATGGACTCTAGCTTAGTGCTCCGTCTACGGTCAAAACTTTTGGCGTCACGATTTGACTGTCGGTCATCATACGTGAACAATAGATTTAACACCTCTTCCGACATGATGCCATTGCCTTCATTTTTCGTTAATTCACCAAACTTCTGGGCAGTCTCCTTGGAGTCATCGGTAATTGTGTCCTTGCCTGTGAAACTACGAAGACTTGCGCGTCGTTTTAGTGTGTTTAATGAATCGATTATTTCCGGAAACATTTCAGCGATAGTTAACGACTTCCTATTTCCACATGATTCACCGTCTTTCTCATCAAGTTTGACCGAGCTGAGCGCCGATCGCGCGGCCCTTACTATAATTTGCTGTTTACTCAATCTCTCGTTGCTTTGAAGTTCCGTGGTTTCCGGCTGCATTTCTTTATCCGGTCGAGCTATCATCTCCAGGTTGGCAACAGTGATATCGGCAAGTGGGTGGTAAAATATGAAGGCAGACTCGCAAGCTTGTTTACGAAATTTTACGTAGCCATCCAACAAGACTTCTAGACGTGGTGGCAATATTGAGGAACACGCCTGTTCACGGAGGTAGGCCAGGAACAGATGAATACATGCATCCGACGATTTCAGCCAACCGTAA